TATGAAACTTGATGAAGAACACCAGAATATTGTCAGATACAGTGCCAGAGATGAGCCCCTCAGGTTGGAAGGCACTCAAAATACCAATGGATAAGACGTGCCTCCTCAAAGTAGAATTTACTGTGATGCCACAAATGGAGTAAAGCTTTTGGGACCTTCATTTGCTGATAGGACACTACACAAAATGAGGAGAAACAGCTGTAAATATCCATAATGTATGAAGTCTGAATCTAGGAAAATTAGAAATTGTCCAAAAATTAGGTAATTCATGAACATCAGTGTCCTAGGCATTGGTGGTGGTGGTGTGCTGTGGAGTAGGTTCCGACTCATAGCAACCCTATACAGGGTTTCTGAAGCTATAAATCTTTACAGAGCAGAAAGCCTCATCTTTCTCCCACGGAACGGCTGGTAGTATTGAACTGCTGACCTGGAGGTTAGCAGCCCAAAATGGACTAGCCTGGCCATTTTGAATCGACAATCAAGTGGTTTTACTACACTGGGACTGACAATTTGAAGAGGACTGGTGGCACATTCATCAAAAATAACAAGATCTATCTTGAAGTACAGCGCTGTCTGTGATAGGATAATATCCATACACACACTTACAAGGAAACCCAGTTAATACCACTGTTACTCAAATTTAAACACCAACCACTAAAACCAGTGAGGATGAAATTGAAGAATTCTACCAACTTCTTCATTCTGAAATTGATCAAACATACCATCAAGATGCATTGATAATTACTGGTGATTGGAATGCAAAGGTTGGAAACAAAGAGGATTGATCAATAGATGGAAAATATAGCCTTGGTGATGGAAGCATTGCTGGAGACCACATGATAGAATTTTGCAAGACCAGTGACTTCTTCATTTTTTTAGTAACATAAAAGTACATAAAGTAACATAAAAGTACATAAAGTAACATAAAAGACAACTATCCACCTGGACCTCAGAAGGTGGAATACACAGAAGTTGAATTGACTTCATCTGTGGAAAGAGACGGTGGAAAACCTCCATATCATCAGCCAAAACAAGACTGGGGCAGACTGGAACAGACCATTAATTGCTCATATGCAGGTTCAGACTAAAGCTGAAGAAAATGAAAACAAGTCCATGAGAACCAAAATATGACCTTGCACATTTGTTGTTGTCAAGTGCTGTTGAGTTGTTTCCAACCCATAGTGACCCTGTATAGGGTTTCCAAGGAGTGACTGGTGAGCTTGAACTGCGGACCTTGAGGTTCAAACTGTCTGCAGTCCAGTGCCACGCCAGGACTCCGACCTTTAACATATCCCACCTGAATTTAGAAAACACGTGAAGACAGATTTGATGAATTAAACACTAACAATTGACGACCAGAAGAGTTGTGGGATGACATCAAGAACATCTTACGGGAAGAAAGCAAAAAAGTCAGTAAGAAGACACAAAAGAAGGAAAAGACTAAAATGGATGGCAGAAGAGACTCTGAAACTTGCCCTCAAACATAGAGATTCTAAAGCAATTGGAAGATGTTGTTGTTGTTGTCAGGTGCCATCGAGTCGGAACCGACTCATAGCGACTCCATGCACAGCAGAACGAAACAATGTTCGATCCTGGGCCAACCTCACTACCGCTGCCACCCCCGAGTCCATCAATGATGCCACCTGGCCGATCCATCTCGTTGGAGGTCTTCCTCTTTTTCTCTGACCCTCCACCTTACCCAGCATGACATCCTTCTCCAGCGACTGTTTCCTCCGGACTACATGTCCAAAGTAGGAGAGACGAAGCTTAGTCATCCTGGCCTCCAAGGAGCACTCTGGCTGCACTTCTTCCAAAACAGATCTATTGGTTCTTTTGGCAGTCCATGGCACCCTCAGTATTCTCCTCCAACACCACAACTCAAAGGCATCAATTCTTCTACGATCCTCTTTATTCACTGTCCAGCTTTCGCATCCAATTGGAAGATATGAGGCGGTAAAAGAGCTAAACAGAAAATATCAAAGTGCAGCTCGAGAAAACAAAGTCAAATACTATATAATGAGATGTGCAAAGACCTGGAGTTAGAACATCAAAGGAAGAACATACTCAGCATTTCTCACACTGAGGGAATTGAAGAAAAAATTCAGACTTCAACTGCAATATCGAAGGATTTTATGGGAAAAATATTCAATGATATAGAAAGCATCAAAAAAAGATGGAAGGAATACACAGAGTCACTGTACCAAAAAGAAACTCTCAATGATTAACCATTGAAGAGATAGCATATGATCAAGAGCCAGTGGTACTGAAGGAAGAAGTCCAGGGTGCATGAAGCCATTGGCAAAGAACAAGGCTCTGGGGATTGATGGAATACAAATGAAATCTTTCAACAAACTGATGCAGCACTGGATGCATTCATTCATCTAGGCCAAGAAATTAGGGAGACAGCTACTTGACCAACTGACTGGAAGAGGTCCATATTTGTGCCCATTCCAAAGAAAGGTGACCCAATGGAATGTAGACATCATCTAACAATAGCAATAATGTCACATGCAAGTAAAATTTTGCTAAAGATAATTCAAAAATGGTTACACCAGTACACTAATAGGGAACTGCCAGAGGGATATCGTTGCTGACATTGATGGATATTAGCTGAAAGCAGAGAATACCAGAAAGATGTTTACCTGTGCTTTATTGACTACACAAAGATTTTGGATTGTGTGGATCATCACAAGCTATCGACAGCATTACAGAGAATGAGTATTATGGAACACTGAATTGTGCTTATGAGAAACCTGTACATAGACCAAGAGGCAGCTGTTCGACTAGAACAAGGGACACTGAGTGGTTTACAATCAGGGGAGGTGTGCACCTGGATCATATGCTTTCATCATACTTAATCTGTATGCTGAGCAAATAATCAGAGAAACTGGGTTCTATAAAGACGAACATGGCACCAGAACTGGAGGAAGACAACCTGTGATATGTAGATGCTACAACCTTGGTTGCTAAAAGTGAAGAGAACTTAAAACATTTACTGAAGAAGATTAAAAACCACAGCCTTTGGTATAGGTTTCACTTCAGTATAAAGAAAACAGAAATTCCTAACACTGGACCAAATAAATAACATCACGATAAATGAAGAAATGTTGAAGTTGTCAAAGACTTCATTTTGCTCAGATCAACCATCACTACTTATGGAAGCAGCAGTCAGGAAATCAAAACGACATATTGCATTAGGCAGATTTGCACAAGACTCTTTAAATTTAGTGTTGAAGAACAAAGATGTCAGTTTGAGGGCTAAGGTGGGCCTGCCTCAAGCCATGATATTTTCAGTAGACTCCTATGCATGCAGAAGTTGGACAATGATTAAAGAAGACTGTAGAAGAATTGTTGCACTTGAGTTATGGTGTTGGAGGAAAATATTGAAAGTACCACGGATTACCAAAGAAACAAACAAATCTATGTTGGAAAAGTACAGCCAGAATGCTCCCTTAGAAGCCAGAATGGCCAGACTTCATTTCTCATACTTCAAACATATTATCAAGAGGGACCAGTCCCTGGAAAACACCATCATGCTTAATAACAAGGCATCAGGAGGGTGTGCCTACCAGTAGGGGCTGGAGTAGGGGAAGCTCTTAAGAGGAAGGAGGTCAAGGAGCTTGGAGGACAGGTGACTCAGCGGGGACATGGAAGTTGCCATGAGTCTACATAGGGCAAACAGTTTGCCATAGGGTGCTAAGTGAAAGGCTGACAGTTGGAATTCACCTAGTGGCTCCACTGAAGAAAAGCCTAGCAAATTTTTTCCATAAAGTTTTTCACCAAGAATGCCCACTTCATGAGTTGGAGGTGACCTTAATAGCAGATGACGGCACTGGAGCCCCCAGAAGTTTTGATGGAAGCCACGGTGAGCCAGGTGTCCAGTTGCCCAGGGCACGGGGAGAGTGGAGCAGGAGTCTCTGGTGGAAGGCTCTGTTCCAGGATGTCCTTGCTGGTCCTTCTCCCTCCATGGCTGGACAGCCTCTCCCAGGCTGTGATGTAGGGATGGCCTCCCGAGCATCTACTGACACTACACATGCACCAGGCCATTTGCTCTTCTCTTTCAGCCCTGTGACCACACTGCTGGGTGAGGTGTTGGGATCCCCGAGGAAACGGGACTGGAGAGTTTGAGTGACTTATGAAAACCATGCTCTGGGCATTGTAGTCGTCATGGTTATGTGCAGTCCATAGAGCAGTTTACTCGGGATCTCCGACTCCGGGGTTTATACATTGAAGAGCCCAGGAGAGCAGGCACGCCATAGGACCTGCTGGTTTCGTCCGTTTTCCATCCTTGGCGGTGTGTACATTCACCACCTTCTTCCTCCTTGCTTTAGTGAAAAGTATTTGAGTTCTCTTTGTCTGACAGGTTTCTGTCTGGTACAGGCTCCTGCTTTTGTGGGTTTTATTGTACCACATCAACCAACAGACCCCACAAAAGTGTACTGCCATCGAGTTGAGTCCCAGTTATCATAACCATACAGGACAGAAAGGAACTGTTCATCAGGTTTCCAAGACTGTAAGCTTTAAAGAAACAGACAGCTTCATCTTTCTTCCACACAAGAGGGGCTGCTGGGTTCGAACTGCCGACCTTGCAGTTAGCAGTCCGATGCCTAACCCACAGTTCTCCCGGGGCTCCTTTCTTGCACTAAAGTAATAAGTCAGAGCCTTAGGCACATAGGCCATCTTACCTACGAATTCCACGGAAAGACACACTCGTCCGTGACTCCTGCAGGAACTGCCGGTGGTCTCATGACAGTGAGTGGGGAAGAAAATCTGGGAAGTCAGCAGCACTGTCTAGATCTGCTCGGTTGCCTGAAGGACTGCTTGTCTTGGGGACAGTCCCACCATGGCTTAGTCCAGCCAGGGCAAGGTGCACATTTCCCCCTCATGACCTGGGAGTCCAGGGACCAACATTCCTGAGCATTCACAGGTGACAGTTCGGGGCCCACACGGGCAAGGTGGCAGATTGAATCCCAGTGGGCTTTTCTCCCTATTTTCCTAGAATGGCCACTCAGTTTCTGAAGAGGTTGACACTACACACCATGAAGGCAGATAATAACTGTATGCTAAAGATGGCCCCATCCCTGAGGGTGCCCTTCCTGGTCCACGCACCAGCGTTCTGTACGGATGAAGGTGCCCAGGGTGCGAGAAGGAAGGTGGCCAAGACAGACACAGCCTTGACTAACATAGGGAGGAAAATCAGCGAGCGCATTATCCATGTCATTGATGAGAAGGGTCAGGACTTGGGCACTATGCACCGAGCGGATGTAATTAAGCTCATGGACAGGCGAGAGCTGAGGCTGGTGAAACGCAACGCCAGTGTGGAACCTCCCCAGTACCAGCTCATGACGGGACTCCAGATCCATGAGGAGCGGATGCGGCTCCGCGAGATGAACAAGGCCCAGCCAAAGACAGGTGAGTGCGGGGCCTGGGGAAGGGCCCCAGGGACATGGACACAGCCAAGGCCCGACCACCCTTTCCAGCGCTTTCTTGTTTTTTATTTCCTCCTCACTTCCATTCCTCTGTTTTCTTTGCTTTTCCTTAAGACCCCATATCCACTGTCTCTTCCTTTAAGTCTGTGTTAAATGAGGGAAACAAGGCAAATACAACCAAAATGCCATCCAGTAGTCTGCCCTCCAGGTTAGGGGTTGGGGACAAGCAGATGGCATCTTGCCCACTCCATGTCTGACTCTTCAGTGATGTACAGTTTAAGTAGTATTTGGTATGTGTGGAGCATCAAAGGTGTTCCGATCGTTTTCACCATATTACTTCCTGATAGAATTTACAACAGTTTCTGTAATACTGGTTGCCAGTGAACGGATTCCGACTCATCGCAGCCCTGTAGGGCAGCATAGAACTGCCTCATGGGGTTTCTAAGTCTGCCAGTTTTATAGACGCCGACTGCCTCACCTATCTCCCTCAGAGCAGGTGGTGGGTTCAAACCCCTTAGCTTGCATTTAGCAAGTGAGTGCTCAACTGCCTTGCCACCAAGGCTCTTTCATTCCTAGATTAGCTGGTCATCGCCGCCATGTGATGGTTTGTCACATGGATTTTTGTTTATCAGGTTCCATGGACATTAGGGTAGTTCCAGTTTTACTTTCTTTCGCATAATCCCAGAGTTGATTCTGACTAATAATGACTGTCTTGGTTCTCTAGTGCTGCTATGACAGACCACTCCTCGTCTGTCAGTCTGTCGTACTGTGGTGGCTTGTGTGTTGCTGTGATTCTAGAAACTGGAGCTCTAGTAGCGTAGCGGTTACGAATCAGGCTGCTAACCTCAAGGTCGGCAGTTCGAAACTACCAGCTGTTCCACGGGAGAAAGATGAGGCTTTCTGCTCCCGTAAAAATTTACGGGAAAACCTTGTACAGGGTCGCTATGAGTCGGAGCCGACTCTACGGTACTTAACAACAATAACAACATGCTAAATACATATATATACATATACTATACATGTACATATGAACCACCACTCATCTGTCAGCTTGTCTTACTGTGGTGGCTTGTGAGTTGCTGTGATTCTGGAAACTATGCCACGGGTATTTAAAATACCAGCAGGGTCACCCATGGTGGACAGGTTTCAGATGAGCTTCCAGACGAAGACAGACAAGGAAGAAGCAAAGACTACTTCTGAATATTTAGTCACTGAAACCTTATGAACAGCAGTGGGACACTGTCAGCACCAGAATGTTGAAGACTGAAACATGAGGAAGAGCACCAGAATAGTGTCAGCTATGGTGCCGGAAGATGAGCTGCTCAGGTTGGAAGGCATTCAAAATACAACTGGGGAAGAGTTGCCTCCTCAAAGTAGAGTTGACCCTGATGATGTGAATGGAATAAAGCCTTTGGGACCTTCACTTGCTGATGGGCACAACTCAAAATGAGGAGAAACAGCCATAAACACTCATTAATAATCAGAACATGGAATGTACGAAGTAGCAATCTAGGAAAAGTGGAAATTGTTAGGAATGCAATGGAACACATAAACATTGATATCCTAGGCATTAGTGAGCTGATAGGACTGATATTAGTCATTTTTAATCTGAGAACCACTTGGTTTACTGAGTCAGGAATGACACACTGAAGAGGAATGGCATTGCCTTCACTATCAAAAAGAATCTCTCATCTGTTTTGAAGAACAACACTGTCTGTGATAGGATAATATCCACACAGCTTTCATATGCATGTGAAAGTTGGACAGTGAATAAGGAAGACCGTAGAAGAATTGATGCTTTTGAGTTATGGTGTTGGAGGAGAATAGTGAAAGTGCCACGGGCTGCCAAAAGAACCAACAGATCTGTAATGGAAGAAGTGCAGCCAGAGTGCTCCTTAGAGGCCAGGATGGCCAAACTTTGCCTCTTATACTTTGGACATGTTGTTAGGAGGGACCAGTCGCTGGAGGAGGATATCCTGTTTGGTAAAGTGGAGGGTCAGAGAAAAAGAGAGAGACGCCAGCGAGATGATTGGCCAAGTGGCAGCATCAGTGGGCTCATGTGTGGCAACAATTGTGACGTTGGCCCAGGATGGGGCAGTGTTACCGTTCTCTTGTGCACAGGATCGCTATGAGTCAGTACCGAATCGATGGCACGTAACAACAACAACATAAGGAAGACCAGTTAATATCACTATTATTCAAATGTATGCATCAACAACTAAAGCCAGTGATAATGAAATTGAAGAATTCTACCCATTTTTTCAGTCTGAAATTGATCAGACGTACACTCAATATGTATTGATAATTACGATTGGAATGCAAAACTTGGAAACAGAGGAAGGATCTGTTGTTGGAAAATATGGCTTTGGTGATAGAAATTATGCTGGAGATCGCATAATAGAATTTTGCAAGACCAATGACTTCTTCATCGCAAATGCCTTTTTTTAAATAACATAAAATATGACTGTATACATGGACCTCACCAGATGGAATACAGAGAAATCAAATTGACTACATCTGTGGAAAAAAATAGTGGAAAAGCTCCATATCCTTAATCAAAAGAAGCCCAGGGGTGAACTGTGGAACAGACCATCAGTTGCTCATATGCAAGTTCAGGCTGAAGCAGAAGAAAATTAAAATAAGTCCACAAGAGCCAAATATAACTTTGAACAGGTCCTGCCTGAATTTAGAGATCATCTCAAGAACAGATTTGATGAATTAGACACTAATGACCAAAGACCAAAAGAGTTGTGCGATGACATCAAGAACATCATACAGGAAGAAAGCAAAAGGTCATTAAGAAGATAATACAGAAGGAAAGAGCAAAATCAATGCCCTCCAGTGTGCTGATGCTAAAGTAAAATGGAAGGAGGAAAAAAACTTGGATAGAAAATTTGAAAGGCCAGCTCAAGAAGATACAGTCAAATATTATAATGAAATGTATAGATTTGGAGTTATAAAACCAAAGGGGAAGAATGCTCAACATTTCTCAAGCTGAGGGAGTTAAAGAAAAAATTCATACCTTGACTTGCAATGTTACAGGATTCTATGGACAAAATGTTGATTGACGCAGTAAGCATCAAAAGACGGAAGGGATACACAAAGTCACTATACCAAAAAGAAATGGTCACTGTTCAACCATTTCAAGAACCTATGATCGTATGATCAAGAACCAGTGAAACTGAAGGAACAAGGTTCACTGAAGACATTAGCAAAGAACAAGGCCCTGGGAATTGATGGAATACACGTTGAAATCTTTCAACGAACTGATGGCAGCTCAGGAGGTACTCATGCATTTATGTCTAGAAGTTTGGGAGACAGCTACCTGGCCAACTAAATGGAAGAGATCCATATTTGTGGCCATTCCAAAGAGGGATGACATGATGGAATACGGAAATCGTTGGACATTATCATTAATATTGCATGCAAGTAAAATTATGCTAAAGAGAATTAAAAAATGGCTGCAACAGAAGTTCAAGCCAGATTCAGACAAGGGTGTTAACATCATATGGATCTTGGTTGAGAAGAGAGAATACCAGAAAGATGTTTACCTGTACTTTATTCACTACACAAAGGCTTTCAGTTGTGGGGATCATGACAAGCTGTGGACAACATTGCAGAGAATGAGTATTCTGAAACAATTGTGCTCATGAGGAACCTGTACATAGACTGGAAGACAGTGTTCAAACAGAACAAGGGAACACTGAATGATTTAAAACCAGGAAAGATTGTGTGCCAGGGTTGTATTCTTTCACCATATTTACTTAATCTGTATGCTGAGCAAATAATCTGAGATGCAAACATGAAGGAGAATGTGGCATCAGGATTGGAGGGAGACTCATTAACAACCTGCAATGTGCAGATGATACAACCTTGCTTGTGAAAGCTAAGAGAACTTAAAATATTTACTGATGAAGATCAAAGAGCACGGCCTTCAGTATGGATTGCATCTCAGTGTAAAGAAAACAAAAATCCTTTCCACTGGACCAATAAAGTACATCATAAATGCAGAAATATTGAAGTTGATGAAGACTTCATTTTGCTAGAATCATCCATCAACACTCATGGAAGCTGCAGTTAAGAAATCAGACGACATATTGAATTGGGCAAATCTGCTGCATGAGACCTCTTAAAAGTGTTCAAGAGCAAAACTGTCAGTTTGAGGACTAAGGGATACCTGAACCAAGCCATAGTATTTGCACTAATCTCATATGCATGTGAGGGTTAGCCAGTTAATAAACTATAGAAGAATCGATGCATTTGCATTAATGGTGTTGGAGGAGACTATTCAAAGTACTAAGGAGCACCAACAGAACAAACCAATCTGGGTTGGAAAAAGTACCGTCAGAATGTTCCTTAGAAGCCAGGATGATCAGACTTTGTCTCTCAGACTTTGAACAAATTATCAGGAGGGACCAGTCCCTGGAGAAGGACATCATGCTTGGTTAACTGGAGGGTCAGCAAATCCTCTCTCAAGGAGGTAGATTGGCACAGTGGCAGCAACAAGGGGCTCAAGTGTGGCAACAATTGTGAGGTTGGTGCAGGACTGGACAGTGTTGTGTTCTGTTATGCATACGGTGCCCATGAGTCGGTACCAACCTGACAGCACCCACCAACCACAGGAGCTACACGGCACAGGGACCCCAGGGCCTCTCCTCTGCTCACTTCTCTCTCCTTTCAATTTTGAAAGCCTAAAGATGTTGCAGGCCACTTTCCTGGGACACTCCCCACGTTGGACCAGGACTGTGATGCGTTTCTTCACTGGTTCATCCGTCAGATCACAGCATGGGGCCATCACTTAACTGCCACACTACATCATTATGTAACCACCAAGCCTGGGGAATCATGGCCCAGCCAAGTTGACACATATTTTGGGGGTACACTGTTCAATCTATGACAGTGACCTTTTGGACAGAGAACTGCCCATAGGATTTCCTAGACTGTCAATATTTTTTCTTTTTTAACTTTATTGTGAATTGGGTGAAAGCTGACAGAGCAAACCAGTTTCGCACTCAACAATCCGTACACATTTTGTTTCGTGTCATTGACTGCAGTCCCCCCAGTGTGACGTCCCCCCTCACACTTCCTCGCGTCTCCTCACCTTTCTGAACTCTGTCCTGGGGTCAGTGCTGCCTTTTATCTCAAACTGTAGGTAATTCTAAGGTGTGTGTACCTCCCTGCTGTCACTGTTCCCCTTAGAGGCCTGTTTGTTGTTTCGCTGAAGATTGAGCCCTGGGGGTGGGGATGAGTCCAGTTCCAGATCTGAAGGGTGACCAAGGGACTTAGTCTCAGGATTCCACTAGTCTCTGTCTGACCAATAAGCTTGATGTTTCAGAAGAATGTGAGTTTGGGTCCGTGTTTTCTCCCCTTCTATTAGGACCTAACTGTGATCCCTCCCTCTCAGAGCAGCTGGTAGTGACACCGGATGCCGGCTAGTTCGGGGCTCAGGGTGGTGGAGACCAGTTTCCATGTGTCTCTGATATTCAGCCCTCATCTTTCCTCCACGTGGGGAGAAGCTGATAGTTGCACCTCAGACTTTGAAGACTCCAGTCAGTGTTCCCCAGAGTAGGACGTAGAACATTGTCTTGGTGGACTCTGATATGCCGGGTGGCCTGGGTGTCCCCCAATTCTGGTCCCTCGAGGTGTCTGGTTGTGTCTGAGTTTTCATGACCCTGTCCCCTGTACGCTCTCCATGGGTAGACTTGCAGCGTAGGTAAATACACATGCAGACATTATCTTGTCAAGCCTTCATGGACACGTGGAGTGCCTGAGGGTGGGAACCAACCTTCTGTGTAACACTCCAGTGTTTAACCACGGCACTAGCAGGGCACTCGTTACTCATAGTGTATGTAATCTGATACAGAATTATCTACGTCTTTTTCATGAAAGCCTTTCCCACTTTTTAAATCACAGACACACTTTTTCATCAATTTATTGTAAATTGTACTTCTCACATTTGGTCCATCTGGAATGGCACTGTGGGATAAAGCCCTGGACCACAAGGTCGCTCTGGATCACAAGGTTGATGGTTCAGTCACCAACTACTCCTTGGAAACCCTATACAGGGCTGCTGTGAGTTGGAACTGACTCGATGGCATTTAACAACAAATCCATCCGTCTGCGAAGGTTTTTGTATGTGGAGAGAGCTAACATTTCTCCCACTATGTAAACGCTTCAGTTGTCCCGACACCTTTGAACACCCCTACAGGCTCCCCACAGACTGCAGAGTGGGGCTGCCCCGTGGAGGGCCCTTCGGTAGGTAGGCCATCAGAGAAGAGCTGGACCAGAATAGACCCAGATCCGAAAGAAAAGGACAACTCCTTGTATCACAAAGGTCAGCGTGTTCTTCTGGTGGTCGTTTATCAGATGATAATGAGAAAGGAAAGTAGTTCCCAGTTTTAAATCGTGTGGTTGTTATGTGCTGTGGAGTCGGTTCCAACTCATAGCGACCCTGTTCAGGGTTTCTGAGTCTGTAAATCTTTACGGGAGCAGAAAGCCTCATCTTTCTCCCGTGGAACAGCTGGTAGTTTCAAACTGCTGATTATGAGATTAGCAGCTCGATTGATAACCACTACGCTAAAAAGAAAACATTGGTCTGTTTCCTGCACTTTAAAGTGTTTGCTGGTCTGAACCCAAACATCAGATGAAAGGGCAGTCAGGCCCCTGTTACAGCCCACGTGTGTGTAGTAAGGTAGAGACTTAAGAGCCTTGGAACCCTATGGGTCGGGCGGCTTTGCTGTTTTATAGGGTTGCTTCGAGTTGGAATTGACTCTCAGCAACCCTAGATGCACAAAAGATACGTGCTTGGAAGGTTGGCGGTTCGAACCCAGCAGCCCCTCCAACTCTAGGGTCAGTCCAGGTTGGTTTTCCTGTGGTAAGGTTTAGGTTTCCCCCATGGATGGGTACATGGTCCTAGCTCCACGTCTCTCTTTCAAACCAGGGCCAACGCTGACAAAGGAGCTCACCTTTTCGTCGGGTATCGGCCAACACGATCTAGACACGAAGAGTAAGCAGATTCGGCAGTGGATTGAGAAGAAATACCAAGTTCAGGTGACCGTGAGGAAAGGCAGGAATGCAGCAGAGCCCGACGACAAAATGGTACGTGAAGTCAGGGGTCAGGGACTGCCTGCTGCTCGGCGTCTTTGTGACTTACAAATACAACTAGAGGAAAGCCGTGGAAAGTTCAGTCACCGACCCGGGCAGGGCAGCGCTAGTCCTCAGGGGTAATGTGCGTGCTCCTGTTTGTTTCTCAGAATCCAAGCATGCTGTAGATAATGCTACTTCTTTCCTAGCGCACGCCACGGAGCTACAAAAAGCTCCTGGAGAAATGGAATCCAAAGGGCGTGGAATTTTCCTCCCTTGTATGAGGGCAGGTCAGAAAGTATCACTACAGAATCATAGCAGCGTCGATGAAACACAAATATCAACATGGGAAGCCTCCTCCCTCGCGGTCTCCACATGTCCCGTCTCTAACCTCCTTCAGGACCACTGTAACACAGCTGTGCCGGATCCTCTAGGGCCACATACCATGCTCCTTTGAGATGGTCTCTGAGTTTGGGGAACAGAAGTCTGAAGGGGCAAGATCAGGGCTGTTGTTTGGATGGGGTAAGATTTCCTAACAAAATTTTTGTAGACCCTCAAAAATGACCTGGTGCATTGTCGTGATGTAAAAATCATTCCTCGGTGCGGCCTTCCTGGCCTTTTCCACACCAGTGCAGCTTTCTACTTTCTTAAAACATCTTCCTGGTAAGACCCCGTGATCGTGCCTTGTCCTTGGAGAAAATCTATCGAGTAACACTTTTTTGAGTTCCCAAAACAGTCACCATAACCTTGGGAGCAGACTTCTGTACCTTACATTGAACTGACCCTTAGAAGCCAGTTTTGATTGTGCCTGGTTTTGAAGGCCCCCTAAGGAGACCGAGACAAGTGTATCAGTGAGAGAAGTTGTTTGCAGCCATCCACTGATGGCAGAAACAGGTTAAAACAGGGTTTGTTTGAACTGCTTTACAAACTATAATGTATCTAACACAAGTCGGAAAACTAGACAGTTTATAGATGTCCACTGTCAAGTTTGTCTCCTTTGTACCCAGGCCTGTGAGAGGCCTCTGACATGTCTTATCAGTTTGGGGGTTAGGCACTGGGCTGCTAACTGCAAGGTTAGTGCTTCAAACCCACCAGCTGCTTTGTGGGAGCAAGGAGAGACTTCCTGCTCCAGTAAAGACGTACAGCCTTGGAAACCCCACACAAGGTCGCCGTGAGTCAGAACCACCTCCACAGCAGTGGGCTGGATGGTCTTAAGAGCAAGCATTCGAACGTTTTCCTGGAAGACTAAAAGACACTGACTCGGCTTCCCCTTTGGCCCTTTTCCTTTGTCAGGAGGTGATACTCCAGCGAATCCTCCAGACCCTGCCTGGGATAGCCACCTTCTCCTCCCAGCCCCAGGCCGTGAAGGGGGGCAGGGCTATGATGTGTGTGCTGCGTCCTCTGAGCCCCAAGGAGGAGCGTCAGAACCAGGAGCGCCAAGAGGCCCAGGCCAGGGTCCCCCTGACCACAGAACATGGGCAGGACACACAGCCAGATATTGAGCATCGGTGATTTTAATAAAGATCATGTGCTTCTGAGAAAACAAAACCCAACAACTAGGCCTGAGTGTACTGCTCTGACCTCTGTAGCGGTGAGCTGAGGGCCAGGATGGCCACTGTCGAGATCACGTCCCTCTCCATGGGGCTGAGCGCCTCCCCACCACCTGACTCAGGCAGGCCGGGCTCAGCTTTCTTTTTAGGAGGGATGTAGCCACTGAGACGAGAGGCCAAACTCCGTTTGCTGTGAACCTGTTGGGAAAGGAGCCAGTGGGCACTCAGGGTCAGGGCTCCCCAGACCCCCTTGCAGTTGTCCTTTCGGGGGCGGGGGCGCATCCTGTGTGAGAAAGTGAGGTCTGCATGGCTGACCTGTGTGCTCACTGGGAAGGATTCTGAACCGACTACTCTGCTGGGTGCACGCCACGCTTCACTGAAAGCCAGCAGCCTGCCTGGGCAGTTCCAACTTACTCTGAGCTTCATTTTCTTCCGGTCGGGATCATGGACCACCGCGTGCCGTCTGAGACTTTGCTAAATAGGGGGAGAGAGAGAGAAGCTACGTTTGGTGCCCAATCATCGGGAACTCCACGAGCTACTGAAGTGGGCAGTTTTCTGTGTGCCAAGTGTGTGGGGATTTCCCCTCAGCCCAACTCCTAGACTGAACCCCCACCCCCCCAGTCCCTAAAGACTCCCTTACACTGGGAATGGTTACACCCAGGGAAGGCTTCTAGTCTTTCATAAGTCATGGGGGATGGGGCCTCACTTCAACTAAACACCAATGGAAACCTGACCAAAAGCTCAGTGTCCTAGTAGACACTGGCCAACTTCCTTCCACCTCAGTCTGCACCCCCACATCACCACAAGACCACC